TCAGGCCCTTCCCAATGCTTCATCGTAGACAGGTGCTAAGCATATCACATAAGCAAAAAAAGCATGGTACAACATTTAAGGAGGAGAGATAGTACTCCTTTTGTTCGGGTTTATTGGGCCTCCTAGCACCACATGCAGGCCCGTTCTCTTTGGTTCCCGTTCCACTAATTAAGGGAAATCGATTCCCATTGGCTAAACCTCTGCTGCATGCGAGAAAAGGAAGCTGCATGCACACTTTTGTCTAGTAACCAGTGTTGCGTAATAAATACCCGGGTCCGGCTCTCCTGCTGGGAACCCTGCACGCATTATTGTGCAGGGCCAACCAATGTGTGACACGTGTACTGACAGGCCCCACATCTTAAAATATTTTCCTTTTTCTTACTATCTCCTTCCTCGGGGACTCTTTGAGCAGCCGTTAGTGCCTCCGTGAGCTCGTAACGTACATCGCGTGGGGCAGTATTCATGGTCGGCAGCTTGGCGGCGCCTGCGCCCGCGCCAGTGACACATCTACTTGTTTCACCCGCGGAGTCCTTCCCTCTGCAGATTTGCTCGAACCAGCATGAGGGCGCCGGGCGCACAAGGTCGGGTTGGACGTGGGCAAGTGGATTGCAGGTCGTCTTTACCGGCGGCGCTGGTCCTGATCACTACCTGAACGTGAAGTGAATGAGCGCGACACGGCGGCTGCCCGGCCGGGCTACGTCTGGCACTTCGTAATGGATGCAATAGCAGCCCGCCATGGCCACAGCGGCATGCATGTACGCTACGACCGGTCGTAGCTCACATAGTTCACAGGAATTATCTCATGAAGGCACTAACGGCTTTTCAAATCGTTCGTGACCGTGAGGATGAGGAGCGATAAAAGAATTTGAGTATCCAAACTGAAATTTTTTAAGATGTTGGAGCCATCAGTACACGTGTCACAAATTGGTTGGCCCTGCACAATACTACATGCAGGGTTCCCAGCAAGAGAGCCGGACCCTAAATACCCTATTGATCCTGCGGCAAAGGCCCAATCTGATGCGTTGCATACAACAACTGTGGGTTCTCGTCGAGAGTCACGCGTGCTAAGCTGGCCGACGCTTGTTGGCAGTTCCACCCCTAGAAAATCTCGCACGGTTACAACTAATCAACCTTGTACCTGAGAGGGTGCTTGGATACGTTTTAGTCCCATCACTAAAAATGGTGGGACTAAAACTTGCTAGTCTCATCCATGGTTGGATCCAAATACTAAAAAAACTAAAATCAAGTTATTGAGGATAATATCCAGGACTTGCATGTGTTAAAACAGAGGAATTAAATAAGGAAAGAGAGGGCTAATACATATTTTAGTAGGTTTCCTATGACTAAAAAAATTTAGCCTCAAGACTAGTCCTAGCCTCTCTTTAGTCAGGGGTGCTTGGAACTTTAGCCTCTAAAAAGACTATTTTTAGTCTGACTAAAAATAGTCTCTTGGATCCAAGCACCCTCTGAGTTTTGGTCGAGGGGCCCAATAAACCCGGACGGAGGGAGTACTTTGGTGACCCTAGGAAGAAGCAACGTCAAGCACGAGAACCTAGGCAAAGCACTTAAATGAAACAATTTGACCGATGCATAAAAGACTTTAGGTGTCAACTCATTAAATAAAGTGAGCTTAGGCTAGTTGTAATGGTAGTATCATAGCTAGTATCATGCATGTCAACTAGGCTATTTTGATGAGGTGTCATAGCCTTAAATGAGGAAAGAGATTGTGGAGTATCATATCATGATACAGTATCATAATAAATGATATGCTACTTTGTGTCATGCATGACAATAAATAGAGTACTACATGATATTAATATACTTCCTCCGTTCCTAAATATTTGTTTTTCTAGACATTTCAAATGACTACTACATACGGATGTATATAGACATATTTTAGAGTGTAGATTCACTCATTTTGCTCCGTATGTAGTCATTTGTTGAAATGACTAGAAAGACAAGTATTTAGGAACGGAGGGAGTATAATACTATGCATTAGGAAGGTAGTAGCATACACTAGTATCATATGCATGATACTACTATATGATACTCTCCACTACAACCAGCCTTAACAAAAGCAAGTTAAGCACCTATGCATTAAGGACTTGAGTTGCTAAGATATTTAATGCACTCAGCACATCATCTAAGGACCTTTGCATTAGAAAAGGTCTCAGACCAGTAGCATGCCACTGGACAGGATCGCATAGCCATTGGATAAGGCACGTTCTGTTGGGATTTTCTAAAACGAGAACCAATTAATGTTGATTCGTGTGATTGCACCATTGAATGCTAGTGGTATTATCCAGGAAGGAAGTTAATGCTTCAAAGGTATCTCAAGCACGTATCTTTGCTTTCATATATACTTCCTTCGTTTTTATTTACTCTGCATATTAGAGTTGACTGAAGTCAAACTTCGTAAAGTTTGACCAAGTTTATAAAAAACAATATAGACATTTATCATAATAAATCTATACGATGTGAAAGTACATTTAATAATAAATCTAATGTTGTTGATTTGTTATTGTATATCTTAATATTTTTGTATATAAACTTGATCAAAGTTTGTAAAGATTGACTTTGACCAAAGCTAATATGCGAACTAAATAAAAACGGAGCGAGTACAAAGGGAATCATTGCTTCCTACAAATAATTGCTTCCTACAATCACGCTATTATGATATTACAATTCCATTTAATCTCCCACTTTTATGTTTTAATATCGTCCTACTTATTTTCCTGGAACCTCCGCTGAACAAAAATTTGTTTCCGCTGCTACTAAAATTTCCTTCCAATGCTAGTGCTTCTGTCTAATAAAAAAAACTAAATCCAACATAGTAACAAATTTATTATGTTTCTTAAGCAACAAAAAATTGTTACCATTGATTACAGATTTTGCTTCTAATGCAACTGGATTTGCATCAAAAGAAGAATTATTTTCCATCTGCAAGGCAATATTTGCTTCTGTCGGGAGAAACCTTATTTCTAGGTGGCGAAAACGTGTGTTACCCACAAACAATGGTTCCCTTTTATTTTGTAGTTATCTCAATCAAGTGGAGGTGATGCTTCCAACACTCTAGTGCATGCTTTATAATCCATAGGGAAAAAAATCTCCAAGCACTGTCACGTGATGTGCTTTCATTATTTTTCATATATGATTTCATAATTATGCTTGCAATTGGTTTACTAGCAATTCCATAGCAGTTGCAACACCATCCACATCTTTCCTCGCTTCGCTACATCAATCATGTCCGACCTAGCCTCAACAAAGTCGGTTTCACCCGCAAGTCACTGGATGTCGGTGTCATTGAGCCGCAGGGGAGTCCAGTGATGAACAACGAAGATGCCACCATGGAGGGGGCAACACTCTTAACCCGCAACAGGCGAGTGTGCATCTTTGCTACAATGCTTCCAAGACAATGACTAGCACAGTAGCCACTGAGATGCTCAATTTCATTCCACGGGTCATGCCCACCATCGACTACCGCTCCATGCTCACCATAGGAAACGCATTTCTTCCGCTCCCGCAGCAATTGCAGAAATTTATGAAGCACGAATTGTTTGATTTGACTATGAGTAGAACGCCTAATAACAATATGAAACATGGAAATGAAGCAAATAGAATACAGTGTGGAAGCACAAGCGTGTAACTGTTTAAGCAAATTGTTGAAGAAACACATCTATGGTGCTTATGAAGCAAATTAAACACAGTGTAGAAGCACAAGCGTGAAAGATATGAAGCAAATTGTTGAAGAAACACAAGTACGGTGCATATTATGAAACAAACTAAGTGTATAAGCATGAAATTTTGGAAGTATCATACTGTATCATGCAATCCAACATAATATCATAGTGGAAGCATAAATTTTTAAAAGTGGGAATAACAAAATATTTCTAGGTAGTCATTAAAACTCAGATCATCAAGGGAGTTGATGCGCATATTGTCCATGATATATGTGAAATTAGGGAAGCAAGAATTGGTTGTTGAAAAAAAACAGGATGACTACGTAGTACATACACGTACGAAGCATGTGAAACTCAAAATGAAAAAGCACGGCACGTATGTAGCATGTCATATGGACGAGCGATGCATCGTCCTGTTGCCGTTGTGAAGGGACGCCCTCCTCTGCAGCGTTAGTGAGGCTCCTTGGTGCGCCGATGTTGAAGGCCTACACACGGGTAAGTTAGCGAATGCGCTACAGCAAGATAGGAACGGAAGGGTGAAATCATGTCCAGATCGGAGAGGTGCTCACCATGATCAGGTCCAGACAAAGAAGGCCACCATGCTCGCCTTTAGGAGAGGGCGTCGGAGCTGGCGGAGGGATCGCCGAGAAAGGTGAGAGAAAGCGGTGGAGCCATTAGTTATGGATCGGTTTTGATTTTCCTAACCGTGGGTGCATGATTAACGGGTTGGTAGGGCTGCTTTTATCCTTGATTAATGGGTGCATGGAGTGGAGAGAGAGGGAGACATTTTCGGCCATTAGATGGAAAACGAATCAATGGTAGAGGATTGGTCTGACGAAGGAAATAAATCAGACGTGCGAGGGAAAGTGTTTCCCAATAAAAAATGCAAAGTGCGCTGTACATATTATCTCGCTTTCACAATCGCCGTCACCAACTGAAAAGATACTCTGATCGTCGCCTAACACGACTCTCATCGTTCACACGAGGTCAACCGACATTGATCGCGGGCGTTCCCCACTAGGTACCAGCATCGCGGGATGCGAGGCCATGGCCGTGGCCTCCCTGTCCGGTGCTGCTGCCAACTGGTTCCGGATCAATCGAGATCCGGCTGACAGCTGACTGATCACCAGCTCTATACGCACATGGTCGCACCGCCGGCTCCATCCTCCGCATATACAAAACCTACGTACGCCCCTCGCAGCGCACGACGGTTAGAAAGGCCACTGTCAACACCCGCGTCCGCGCCGTCTCACGCGTCGATCAAACCACTCGAGGCCTCATCGGCGGCCGTACACGCCATCGAAGCAGCAAGGAAGAGCAATGGCGGCGGCAGAGGTGAGCAACAAGGGGGTGATCCTGAAGCAGTTCGTGACGGGGTGCCCCACCGAGGACGACCTGGAGCTCGTCACCGGCGTCGTTCGGCTGGCCGTGCCGCCTGGGTCGGCGTCCGTGATGGTCAAGAACCTCTACGTCTCCTGCGACCCCTACATGCGCAACCGGATGAGCGAGCACAACGAGGCCAGCTACATCGAGCAGTTCGTGCCAGGGGAGGTACGTTGTTACCAGACGCGCCCATTAATCCCGACTTGTTATTTACTGTTTAGGTTATCTCCTGATTTCTGCAGGAAATGAACTGTTTTATGTGTCTCTCGGCTATTACAACTAGTAGTAGTAATGAAACTGGCCCGCACGGCCGAATGTTTCTTTTCCGTTTTGAGCAGAATTCTCTTTCTGTCGCCGCCCTCTTTTAGCAACTTCCCTTTTACGGTGAATTTTAAAAACAAGGTTTGGAATCACACGGCACTTCATTTGGTCGAATCTGGCAAGCTGGCCTGTGAGCTTGAGTGTTCAGATCAAGTTTTTTAATATATCTATGAGATCGTGGCATATTTTTTAATATCTATGAGATCGTAGCACATTTTTAATGGTAGTACGGTAGATTCCCCTACTTATATATATCTCAATATATTACTTCCTCTGTACGAAAATATAAGATTTTTGCAGTTCGGACGGCAAAAACATCTTATATTTTAAGACGGGGAGTACTGTGTTAAAAAGTTGTACAGGAAAACATAAGGACATGTACAATGGTTCTATCTTAAGAGTGCCACGTAGGATAAATAGTGAAGTGGAGGAGAGAGAAATCGTAAGATAAGGCTTGTCTTCTCTTAAATAAGAGAAGACAAGAGATGATCTCTTAGCACAATTTGTCTCACCATATTTTTAGGAACAGCTAATTATTAAAGATAAGGCTAAGAAATGATCCATTGTAGACATATTTTTTTATCATCTCTAATTTACATGCAGGACTTAAGATAAAACTATCTTATCAACCATTGTACATGCCCTAATGAGAACAGAAAAAAAAACTAATACAAGGCCTCAAGCCCTCTACAACAAGTCAGATGAAAGTATCAATAAAAGGTTGCAGCCTCGTATGTTTTCCTTTTAGCTCTGAAACGAGCAATTTCATTCTTTCTTAAATCTCCTCTCGTGTCCGTATAGATTTGGCTGTAGACCTTGGAAAACGAAACCATTTCTAGTGTTTTGGATGGCTCATGTCACCGAAATGGTGATCTTAATCTATTACTTACAAATAGTCATTAGCGCTTCTGCCCGTCCGTCATCAATAATTTTGCACAGAAGTCCCTATATTTTTTGGTATTCAAACCGCACTCCATAAATATACATATTGTAGGTATACCTTCACCAGCAATCACTCGCGTTTGTCCCCAGCTCGTGCGCCGTCTAGGCCACGTTGGGCCGATGCGAATAGAAAACATAATTTCGTGGTGTGTGTAGGGTCGTTGAGGAAAAAATATATTTTTTGGTATTCAAACCGCACTCCATAAATATACATATTGTAGGTATACCTTCACCAGCGATCACTCGCGTTTGTCCCCAGCTCGTGCGCCGTCTAGGCCACGTTGGGCCGATGCGAATAGAAAACATAATTTCGTGGTGTGTGTAGGGTCGTTGAGGAAAAAATATATTTTTTGGTATTCAAACCGCACTCCATAAATATACATATTGTAGGTATACCTTCACCAGCGATCACTCGCGTTTGTCCCCAGCTCGTGCGCCGTCTAGGCCACGTTGGGCCGATGCGAATAGAAAACATAATTTCTTGGTGTGTGTAGGGTCGTTGAGGAAAAAATATAGTTGCTCAAGGTGGGGGTCGAACTCGACACCTCCCTTTCGATGAAGGAGGGTCTAACCAAGCGCACTGACAATGCTTTTGTTTAGATAGCTTGTTTGCTAACTATTTAAAAGTCCCACCTCGCCTTTTTACAAAAAAAAAATCCATTAACTTATATACCTTCAGGAGTTGTCTAAGGCACCAACAGGCGGCTTTAATAGAAGGTGATGTGCGGATTATGGAATAAAGGAATTAACTCCCTCAATAAAAGAGGAAAATAAGTGATAGTGAAACAGCTCTAATCGGATGGAATTGTTGGTTGACTTGTGGGAAGGTGGACTGGTGCATGGCTGGCTGCTTGTGGGTCAGACTTGCACAGAAATAAGGAACGATAGGATATTGAGTCTCTGTTGGAAAAACAAGGACGGAAATAAGAGAGGGGATTTCAACCGACGTGTATAGAGAAATAACGAAGATAAAAATTAATCATTGTGACAGGAATACAAGGAAGCTAGAAGGTGTGGAGCGCTCCTCTGTCCACGGCTTCTATATAAACCTCGACGTGATAGCCAAAAATAAGGAAAGAAATTTTACTCCTTGCGGCAGAAAAATAAGGAGGGAAAGCAAAAGCTTCTAATTAAAAGGGATTTCTAAAAAAATAGGAAGGAAAGAAATTTAGGAAGATAGGGATTTGATGTTCAGAAAGTTCAGGTTATGTCTTGCTTAGACTTCAAGTCGTATCTTCCCTATGGCACCATGGTTAGCAAAGATCTAACACATGATCCCAACCTTCTTTCCTCTCATCCATGGCACCATGGTTGGCCAATCTTCGCTCCTTGGAGTTGTACCCCCGATTGTGTCACGTTCATCGGTCTTACGACCGTTACCAATAATATCCTAGTGTGTGAAAATTCGTACCACACTTACCAATCCTTGAGGAAACTGCCAAGCTCCTGGATGAAAATATTTTTGGGCATAAGGAACTTGTGCATGAACTGCAGTGCACCATCCTCAAGAAATTTGTGGCAAACATTGAAGAACTCAAGGAGGAAGCATCAACCGACCGGGTTGCCATTGCACATCTAAAGAAGGGCATCCCCATTAAGACCTTCACCAAGGAGGAGCACACGTAGGACACGCGCAACCTCCATTGAAGTCCTTCCTCTTATCTAGAGGAACACACCTAGGTGAGAGGGAAAACCTGCACCTACGAGAAGTGGTAGGAGTACAACCTACAACCACGATGGTGAAAACTCTAGTAGTAATGGGGTGCCCTCAAGAGTTAGCCATGCGACAAATCTCAAGAGTAGCTATGCTTGCAACTGTGGTGGTGATGAAGTCCTCTTCGGCTGGTGTGGTGGACTCACGAGCAACAACACCATTTGTGCTCTTCCTAGTAGCAACGGCTCCTCTTCCCGGGTCATTGCCAATCCCTCTATTTCATGCATTGCTCCTCCATAGGCTACCAATTGCATTAGAGTTTCTTGTGACGGGAACAAAAGATGAGCTTGCCCTTGAAACCCTCCATCACAAACCCTAAGGCTCGTGAGCCCTGCCAACCTTCATTTTTCCTCGGAGTTGTACCCCAAGTGTGTCACATTCATTGATCTTGTGGTCGGTACTAATCCTAGCACGTGACAACCATCAAGCAGGATGTTATGTAAATGATTCACAAATTTAATCCATGAACTCTTAGGGATGAGCTATCTTAATTTAGTGGTAATGATGCTTCTGGTAAAGTCTGAAACTGGTTCGATGTCAAGCGATTTGTCAACGATGAGCCTGGTACACTTGTTCAGGGAAGCTTGTTGCTGAAGCTCTAGCGCCCAAGCATAACCATTAATGCTAATCTCTAATGGAGCTAGTGGGGGCAAGGATGAGCCACAACCCCCTCCAAGATTGATAAAATTGTGTACAACCCTTCAAAAATTTCATTCCACCCAACTATTTGTGTCCCCGCCCCCAAATGCTTGGCAATTTGTGCCCCCCTCCCCCTCCATTGATTTATAGCTCTATCCCCGATGCCAACGCTAGTCTAGCAGAGCCAAGGCGCGCATTCGTCAAACCATTCATGTAATTTTCATTGTGCAAAGATTGAACAAAATTTTACATGAGAAGCATATCCCAAGCAAAATGCTGAAGCTGGATATTTCTAAAGCCTTTGACTCGCTATCCTGGAGCTCCTAATGCAGTTACTCGTCTTCAGAGGTTTTGGCCAGAGGTGGAGTTGGATTGCATCTCTGCTTCCGTATGTCGGCATGTGCATTTCAGTGAACAAATTCCTTTTTGGCTACATCTTCCAAAAGAAAAGTCCTCGACAGAGTAACCCCTGTCCGCATTATTATTTGTGCTTGTCATGGACTATATAGCTGCCTGTTCAACTTGGCGCACGTTGAAGGTGTTCTTTCACCCCTCAACCCTCAACTGTTTAGACACATTTTTCCCCGAAAAGGAACTGTTTAGACACATGACCTCTTTATATGCTGACAGTGCAGCGGTATCATTCAACAAAAGATAGATGATGTTGTCGCTACCAACACCATACTCACTTTCTTTGGCAATGTCGATAGCCTTGTTACCAATGTCACCAAGAGTAGCCTCTACCTATCTTATGTGACAATATCGACAATGAGACCGTTGGGCAGCCATTGTCATGGCTGATTGGCACCATCCCCTTCACCTATTTAGGTATGCCTCTATCCTTTACCAAGCTAAGAGCATTGATTTTCAACCGCTTTTTGGACAAGCTAACAAAGAATATCGTTGGATGGACTGCCCAGTTCATATTATGTGATACGAGAGCCACGCTGGTCAAGCATGTACTCTCAGCTGTCCCCACATTACAGGTGCTAGTTCTATACCATCCCAAGTAGATGGCTAACACTACGACTTTCACTAAACATGCTCGAACAAACATAACATTGCCAATTGTCTCGTTAGTTGTAGGTAAGTTTTCTCGCCCAAGCCACTCAGAGTCCTCGGCACCCCCGCTTTTGAGATTCACAATAGAGTGCTTTCCGTCCACTGGTTATTATTCGATTGGGAGAACTGTAACAAACCGCCATTCGCCTACATCCGTCAACCGATCCTCTCACCAAGAGCATGTTCCGACCTTCCACCTGCATCAGTAATGGCTTCCTTTTGGTACGATCATTGGCATAATGGTTGTGTGTCGACGGATGATTTTTGGTGTCTCTTTTTACATAGCTATTATCGACAATGCTCGTTTCTCAAGCTCTAACCAACAGAAAGCAGGTTACCGCAATCAAGCCTTTCCTTGATGTTGATGTCCCCTCCAACTATATGCGACTCTAAAAATATCTGAACAGTGTGCACCTAAACGATTCTAAAGATCGAATCACCTAGAAATAGACTGAAGGCAGCTTTTATTCGACGAAATTTGTCTATTTGATCCAATTTGAGGGTCCATATGCTCTGAGCTTAATGGCCTCGTCTTTCTTCAAAAAGGAGGATAAACCCTAGCCTATGCATCGATTGATGCACACTTCTCTGCCCATGTGCCACCGAAGCTGAAGCACATGCTTGGATTCTGATCGAGAGCAAATGACTGACCGCCGACAGGCTAGCACAGAGGGGATGGCCACACAACCCAGTGTGCTCCATCCGCCACTGTCATCTTGAGATTACGATTCACCTGTTAGCCACTAGGATAATACTTCTAGGCACTTGATCATTGGCCGCAACATGTATTGCACTGCTTGAGGCTACCTTGCCGAAAGTAGCCATTGTATCTATGTGTCTCTACATGCTCTTCAACAAGTAAAAGCTTCACAAGCACTTGAATACTAGTTGCATCCTGCTTTAGTGGTTCTTCTAAACTAAAAGGAATGCAAGGATCTTCAATAACGTTGTCAAACCACTAGCTACGACGTTCAAGCTAGCTTACGATGAGGTGCTCACCTGGAGGGGGAGCTGTGACATGCCTCATTCATCACATTTTGCTACTCCAACTGAGCCTCCCAAACAAATCGCCTAAACCTGTACTTGCTTGGATAGACTAGCAACCACCATAAACTAGGGTTGTTCTTTCTTCTCCGCTAGCTATGCCCAGCTAAACCCTTGTACATTCCAACTCTCTTAATAATTCAAGCTAGTCTAGGTTTGTTTCTTACTTCTCCATGGGCTATGCCCAGCTAAACCCCTACACATTCCAACTCTCTTAATTTAATGAAACATTGTATGTTATATTTCGTCAAAAAAATACTTTAAGGAGTTTCTTTTTACCGAAGATATTCAGAACACGGTTTATTGTGAATTGGAAGGAGTATATATCTACTATTTTTATATTTTCATAAAAATGCATGTGTTAATCACAGAAGAAATATTCTTGACCATCTATTTTTTAGTCAGGTCGAGTTATAATAGAGATATGATCTCAAACTTTTGTGGCCTTTAGTTGTGTATGCGCAAGTTGTGCAAATGTTCCTTTTATCTAATATATAGACAAATGCAAATGATAGTAATCAATTAAATTTTATTGTTCATCCTACTCACAGTTGACACTCAACACCATGTTATTTACGACTGTAACTTGTAGTTTACTCTATTGTCATGTCAAGTATGAACTACAGTGCTTTTCTTTTACTCGAAAACAAAGCCATGAAGACTATTGCGTTCTGTTCACTACTACAGTCGAATTCTCTGAAATTCCAATGCCTCACTGAGTACGATTATTCCAGGTTTTGGCTACCTTTTCAGTAGGCAGGGTGGTAGCATCTGGGCACCCGATTTCAAGTCGGGTGATCTTGTTTGGGGCATGAGCGGATGTGAAGAATACACTTTGATCACTGATCCAGAGTCTCTTTTCAAGATCAACCATCCCGAACTACCTCTGTCGTACTACACAGGTGTTCTTGGTGAGTACATTTTTATTTTGTCAGAAACAAAGTGCCATATTTAACTTATATTTCCGTTTTTCATCAAATGAAGCACGTACTTGCATTTTTCGTTGACTACATCTGGTTGACAAACCAGAATTTTGGCACAAGCTAGCATGTCCAATAAATTAATTAACATGCCACACCCAAAACACTGAATGAAACAATAGCGAGAGCTTACATGTTCTACATACCGTTGACATGTTGTTCAAAAAGTGACCTGAATTAATTGAAACAAAGATTGCATCCATTAAGAACTGAAACATATGATGAAAAGGGACAGACTTTTGTAAAGCAAACATATCATGCAAGAAGGATCGAACCACGGACGTGAAAGAATATGCGCACCTGATCATGGCAGCTTTGTCGTGGAAATCTTCCACCGAGTTCCATCGACTCACGAATTCAATCTCCTTAACCTGAGACCAGTTAGGCCCAGACTCAAGACTGATTTTGGTGAGCTTCACCGGCAACTGCCAGGCATGGACCAGGCGAGAGGAGCAGGTTTTGTGCGGCGACCACGAAATGTTCAACTCTTTGCAGTCCACACAACCTTGCTCTTCGTCAGGTCGATGGCGAGGATGTGCCCGTCCAAGAAGTAGACCTCATTGGCGTTCATGCATGGGGTGGACCAGCACCACAACGGGGATGACCCTCTCACGCAGCCTTGCATCCTTATAGATCTGGTCGTCCCAAACCTTGTCCAAGGGGAGCTTGAGCCTGCTTGTCCATGTCACGTCAGATGGGTCGTTGGAGGACAGCGTCCACATGCTGACCTCCGGCTTGTCATAGGAGCCATGGATCTGAACGTACCGCAGCCGGCCGCCGCTCACCTTCAAGCAGCGGTGTCACCATCGATGGGGCCCAGGCGAATGGCAGCTCATCGGGGACATGCGGGAAACATGGGGCTGTTTGGTTCTAGCCTTGCATTGCCACATTGTGCCACACATTTTTGCCAAGCTTACCTAAAATTAATTTAACAAAATGAGAGCCACAAGTTGGCAAGTCTAAGGGAATCTTGTCATATTTTTTATGTGTATGTCATGTGGGGCCTAGTGTGACTTGCATAAGTTGTAGTTTGAACCAAACACTTATCTAAGTTGGTCAAATTTGCCTAACCTTAGGTGTGGCAACCTTTGACAAACTTAGTCACAAACCAAACAGCCCCACGATTTGATAAAACTTGGCTTGTCGGCAAAGGGGTCACGGCGAGGATATAGTAAGCGAGATCAAACCACCAGAGGAGCCCTTCGTGGGAGAGGACATCGTCGCCACGCCAATCTCTCGCGTCCACGATGTTGGAGCACTCGCACCTCTTCTCATCCCAGTCGTACATGTCCTCCATGCAGAGGAGCGTGATGCGGCCACGATCTTCGATGCACCACGGGTTGAGCTCTGCGACGATGAGATGGTTGTCGCCGCGATGGCGAATGAGTCCGACGGAGTGGGGGCACGTGATGCCACCGTTGTGAGGGAGGATGCCCAGTGTTCTGCGGATCCACGGGTCGCAGAGGTAGTAGGAGATCCCGGTCGTGGTGCAACCGCAGAGGAGAATGACGCCGCAGCTATCGACCGCTGTGACGGAGGGGTAGTGCAGCATGCTGCCGGCGGACATGTCGACGTTACTCGTGGCGGTTACGTGGGAGGGGAGCGGAGCTTTCTCGAAGGTGAAGGACATGTTGGTGGATTTCTCGAAGATGCTATGATTGTTTCCCTCCTTGGCCACCACCCTCGGGATGCCGTACAGGATGAACCACTCCGCCGCCACTGGGGTGGGGCCATTGCCAGATCGGAGGAGATTCGAGCTGTTAGGGTTCCGTGTATCGTATAAGGGGATAAGGAATGTCGCGCATTAGAGAATATGGACAAAGAATTCGATACTATGGAGATCTCATACTACGGTGATCTTCGCGCACCAGAGAATATGGACGGAGCGGAACGTGAGGATTTTCAGCGATACGCATCTCACCCCACGGTGCAAGAAGTTTTGAAGAAATAAAAGGCTAGAGTAGATAGCTGCGATCTTCCCAGGACCTTTTTTCCTTCGGTTTTGCTAGACGTCAGTCGCACGAAATTTGAATTTGGGTCAATTGATTCGGTGGAGAGGAGGCAGCAACCGCGGAGGAGTACCGAGGCCGCCGGCGGAGGCAGCAGTAGCCGCGGCGGAGTAGCTCCTCGTCTATCTTAGGGGTGCAGTGAATGCAGGGGAAGCATCATCATCCTTGTCTATCTTAGGGGTAACGGGGGGTGTGGGTTCGCCAGCGTCGGAATTGAAGGTCTGCCAGGGTTAGAGGTAATGCCTTGGGCGGCGGCAAGGCTCGGCGATGTGGGAGGTTGAGGGGAGTGTGGGGCAGCGAGGCAGCCGTGGGAGCGCAACCGGCCAGCGACGGAAGCAGGCGGAAAGGCCGACGGTGGCTTGACGGTTTGAAGAAATAAGACGATGGCTAGAGGTTGAAGACGCTCATTTGGACGTCCATTCTTCATCAGATGGCTAAACTAGTCAAGTGACCCAAATTGCATTCTCCAACGCAGATGCCAAGGCCGGGCGCTAGGGTTAGAATCCTGGTAGTTTTTCTCAGATCCCGTCCGATTCCAGGAAATAGGCCAGCATCGATGCCGCATCAGTCGTCGGGCGCTAGCCCAATTGCTCGCTCTTTTTTTCATGTCAATAGCGCCCGTACTTGGCATCTAGCACTGGAAACAGGGCGCTAGGCCAGACGCCAGGAAGAAAAACATTTTTTATTACGGCCTAAGCGTCTAATTAGGCGCCTTACAGTGTAGATGCCCTTAGCGTCTCGTTTCTAGCCGGTCTCTTTTTCCTTCATGTACTTCTTGCACGGCACAACTTTTGTACCGCATGCACGCTTGTACCAATAAAC